GATAGTTATTTATAAAGTGTGCTATAAGGTTTATTTCAATATATATTATTTTTATTATTATATAATATTATTTTTGTTTCGCTGCTAATTTTTAGATATTTTATATTAGAACAAATTAATTCTTCTCTACTGGAACTCTCTACAGTTGATAAATTTTTTTTTGTAAAAAAGAAAACATGCACTGTTAAATCAGAATCACACATATGGATATCTTATAAATATTATAAGTTTACTTTATATATAAAAAATGTTGGGAGTCTTAATATTTACATCACTGCAATTTATATGTAGAATACTTTAATCATTTGCTTCGTAGAAATTGTTACTGTTATCATGAGTCAAATTAAGAAGTCAAGAAAATTAATTCTTATAATAATTAATTAATTCTTATAATAATTTCATGATTTTTAGTAGCCAAATATATATTATTTAGAAAGCTGCTGAGAGAGAGAGAGAGAAAGAGAAAAGAGAGAGAAGAGAAAAGACAAAAAAAAGTTTAGAATATAATTTTTGATTAAAAGTAATAAAAACTATTAATACTAAACTGAAATATTAAAAAGATATACAATTGAATTTTATATAAGAAAAGTGTTCCACAACATTGCATTAAATAATATTCTATAATATGATTCTCTATAATAATATTAAAAAAAGAAGAATTTCGATTTTATAGAATAATGATAATCGCATAGTTTAAAGGATAAAGATATGAAAAAAATGTACAGAATATTAATGCAAATAATGTTGCAGTCAATAAACGTTTCCATAATATTGGTGAAGAGTGTACTGTTTTACATCATCATGAATCTCGAGATGTTCAGTTTTTGCTTGATCGAATTACTATAAAGGTATAATATTAAATTATATTCAACAACTCGATTTTGTAATCTATTTTAAAGTAGTCTACGAATATGTAATGTTTTAGCTTGGTAACAAGATATTTAATTAATATTTGTCCTATAAACTTTAATTTTAATAACGAAGCATATATAATATTTAAATTTTTATATTTAAACCAATTTAACTGTAGTTACGTAGGAATTAACGACGGTTGGCTTTTGTTATATATAACATATAGCTTGACAGCTTTAATTCTTTTGTCATGTTTATGTAACGTGTAAATTGGGTTCGTAACAGTAAATAATTAGAAAAGCTATTTTCATTTGACCTTTAGAATTACATATCTTCAATGCGGCTTATAAATCTCTTTGATACAATATACACGTGAACGAAAGTTGAACGATATCATTTCTGATTTGAGTTCGCAAAAATATGATTAATAAAACTATAATTGAAAAAGTTATGGATCTGCCATTGAATTTTAACAATGTAATCAAAAGAAAACTCCATTATATTTGTTATATTTTTGAAAGTATTTTTATCCATTCTCCATAATTATTATAATTACAGATTGTAAAATCATCGGCGTCCTATCCATATCTGTGTTGCTGACCATGTCCTGGAAAAAAATTAATTATGTTTAATTATAAAAAAATTTAAACATCAATATTTAGAAACTATTTAAAAAAATAATATTTATAGTCCTATATTTCACATTCTGTCTTGTCTTTCGCTATTTCTTATCATCTCATCGTCATTTTGCATTTCTCATATCTATATGTACGCTATGTGAAAAACAAACATACATTTTTTTAGTATTTTATTCTATTTTGTTTTTAATTATTTATTTTCCCTAACACATTTTACTACATATATTTATCATATTTACAATTTTTTCTTGACTCTCTTATTCTACTAATGTCTTTAGTATAATTTGTTTCTCTCTCTCTCTCTCTCTCTCTCTCTCTCTCTCTCTCTCTCTCTTTCTCTCTCTCTATTTTTTGTCTTTTTTTCTCCATCACATTCACACATACTTTCATATTTCTTAGTCTTTTCTACATATAACCTGTGTTTATCTTCTCTGTTATTCACTTTTTTTTTTTATTTTTCGACGCCTACATTTCTCCAACAACTTATTTTTGCCTAAAAATATTTCAGCATTCCTGTTGTTCTTAATACCCTATTGTACCTCAGTTCTCTCATTTTTATTTTTCCTTTATACATCTCTGTCTCTTTCTTCTTCGCCATTTCTTCCATAAGTCTCCTTTTTTTTCATAATCATATGTTATTTTTCTCGCTAAATAAATAATAATATTTAATGTTACAATTAATTTTATTTGTTTTAATATAAATTTGTCTTTTACGCCATGAGAAATAATTAGCAGATTGTAGAATTTAATTAAATTATGATTCTGCTTTTGCTCTATCAAAATAAAATAAGATTTTATATATTATTTCTTTTTTTAAATAAGTATTAAAAGTATAATTAAATATTATAATTTAGAATTTTGCATACAAGTTAAAATTCATAAAAATTTATATTTTGATGTTACTTACTGCTCTGTCGTCTGTTATATACGTCAAGTGCTTGAATGTGCGCTTTCGTTGAAAACCAGAATAAACTCGGAAGAAAAATCAATAACTCGAAATATACACAAAGTTGTGTTAAATGAAGTCGAACAAAGTGAACTTATGATTCTCTCTCTCTCTCTCTCTCTCTCTCTCTCTCTCTCTTCCCGTGCTCACTCATTATTCTTTTTGCTTCGAGTTCCATCGATTTCCATTCAGACTATATATTTTCTGAGCGCATAGCGTCTTGTATTATACGAAGCGACAAATAGAGAGAAGGAAGGTGAAGATTCGGTGAGTTGTAAATTTCTTTTTCTTCGCTTTTCTTTTTCTCTGGTTTTCTCGTGTCTTAAAGCATATAATCATAACCACGATCGATGCTCTTTGTTTTCTTCGAACATGCGATTTTCACGCAGTTTGAAATTTTTTCTTATGATCCCCATTATAAATTTAATACTTGCATTTGCGTTTAAGTGTTGCTTATCTATGTCTGCTTGAATTTTTAAAGCAAATCGCTCACTCCTGCATTGGTCTGTAGAGTTATTATATTGATTTAAAGGATATTTTCTTAGTATTTTTTTTTCTTACGAGAGTTAACAGGAAAGATACAGCAATTGCGTATGTAATTTAAACGCACACCGCAAATATTTAATGACTGTGAGGAGATCAAAATGTGTTCTTTTTTTTTACTTCACTTTCACTTAGAATTTTTCAATTTGTACCGAGACGGTCAGTTTTACACATCGTACGATTGATCAGCTTTATACGATTTAGTAACTGACTCTTCAGTAATACAAATTATATATATATTTCTGTAAAAGGAGATGAAAATACAGTAAATTAATATAACAAGTTGGAAAGGAAAAAAGTATGAAACAAACACCTACAAGCACTATCAACCGAACCATAGAAATTCCGCTTCGCATTTTTGGTATCTGGCCAGGTTCACCGTACATTTCATTTTGTAGACTGTTTTGGACGATTGCACTTGTAGTTACTCAATCTTTACAATATCGATATATTATTTTACACTTACACACTGTCGATCTTTCCGATTTGATGGATGGTTTAAGTGCAACCTTGAGTTTTAGTCAATTTTCTTCTAAACTCATCATTTTCTGGTTCAATCAACGGTAAGACACAAATAACTATAATTTAAATGCTAAAAAGATATTAATATTTTTATAATTTATATTTTTATAAAAAAAGGCACTATATTATTTTTAATCATATTTGTGCACAATTATACACACATGCAGAAAATTAATATTTTTTTTATTATTATGAGATAATAGATAAAATCACTTATAGAACATTCGATAAGATATTGACGATGATGGCGATGGACTGGAAAAAAAATAGCGCTGCTGATTTTAGTACACGTGTGAGAACAAACAAAGCTATTCTATCACAGAATTTCGCTAAAACCGTCTTTGGTATCTTCTCGATAGCCATAACATTATATACCGCTAGCGTTTTTACTTTTGATACGAATAATCTAGAAGAGACTGACCTATCCATGCGACCACTTATTTTAAAGATGGACTTTCCATTCAATAGTAATACACAATTTGTTTATGGATTGGTATTAGTTACACAATTCTTTTGCACAGTGCTATGTGGCTGCACTGTTGTCATGCTAAACGTTCTCCTCGTTGTCTTGGTAAGTTGAAACTGACTTGAAAAGAATTGTTAAAAAATTTTTAATTTAATTGTTGCGTCCACTTTAATATATCGCAATGTTCTCTAGAATTATAAAATTATTGCGATTATATACAAAATGTCAAGCTGCAATCACACTTTTAAAATCTTTTAGGTATTACATTTAGATGGCCAAATAGAGATTCTCAGTAAATGGTTCACAAAAATCATTTCAAAGCAAAACGGACACAGGCTGAATTTAGCAATAATAAGGAAAATAATTGAAAAACATCAGAGTATTATTATCTTTTCAAAAAGAATTGAAAATTTGTATTCCGATATTGCGTTGATTCTGTTCGTGTCAGATAGTTTGATTATATGTTGCATCGGTTTTGTACTGGTTACGGTAAGTAATTATGATGAGTGTTTCCAGTAGACAAAAAATGTTTTGAAACATTCCAACAACATAACAGCAACGTCGCTAGAATGTTTCAAAATATTTCTATATATATGATATATATATATATATAACATATATATAGAAATATTAAATAATATTATTAAATAATATTATTACTAAATATGATTTTTAATATTCTTAAGTCAATTGGAAGGCCTAATGCTGCTACGATTATAATGAAGTCTCTTGGATTTTACCTTATAATGAATTTTGAGGTATTCATGTTTTGTTTTGCTGGAGAATATTTAAGTTCTAAGGTTAATATTAACGTCTATAATATATTATTAATAAATGAACTGTTAATTTTCCTCTTTGCTTATATAATTTTCTGGTACATAGAGTAGAGCAATTGGAGACGCTGCATACGATTCCCGTTGGTATCAATGCAGATTTCAAGACAGCCAGATTATTTTATTCTTGATAATGAGATCGCAAAATCAGTTGACGATTACAGTTGGGAAATTTATGAATCTTTCCCTCGAACGATATGTCAGTGTAAGAATGCTATCAAAATATTTTTGTACTGTAAAAATTACAATTCCTTCTTAAATATATAATGTGGTAAATATGTTATTATATGTACCATATTATATATTTACAGTCTCACTATTATTTATAATAGTACAGTTTTTACAATAAATTACATTTCACATACATCTTTTACATTATCTGCATTTTTATATATCGATTTAGTGACAAGTGCATAATATTGTTATAGATTCTAAAAGCTTCAGCATCTTACGTATCAGTTATGTTAGCGGTGTATTAACAACAAAGATACGAGTGCTTAACATAATAGCTATGATATAGTAATTTATGATTGTTAAATCTGATTATTATATATAAAGAATATGCACGTATTGAATAAAAATCGCGTTTTGCTGAATCACTGTAATATTTGTTTTACTTTTATTATTTGAATGATTCGGGCAAGTGCATATAAATATAAAGTGCGTAAATCAGTAATATGAATTAATTTATAATGTTAATTGTAAAATTGATATTAAATTTCTATTTATTTACCTGAGAGAGATATGTTATAAGTAACAAAGAATCATACAATCGAGTAATTTACATATATGATACTTAATAATTTTATTTTATTTCTTAGTGCCTTATACTTCTATATTTTTAATTTTATCGAGACTTTAGAGCAAGTTTGATTTCGATGTACAATCGCCTACAATCCATGACGTTTCATATGGCACTTTGAATTATTAAAGTAAATAAGTTACGTATGCGTAGTAACTGTCTTACATGAAAAATATTCATTGACAAGTGGTTTTCTTTCTTCAAAGGTGATTGTTTGTGAGAAGTTAAAACTCTATAAATAAATAATATTTTGTGCACAATTACTTGGTCATTTCTTTATATTTTTCTCTCGAATATTTTTTCTTTAAATCTAAAGACTTAAGATCGCATCTTGCTAGCAGATATATATATCTTGTATATACATCGTATAGATTACTACATATCATTACATATTTATGCAAATTATTCGCGAATGCATAGTCTACACTGAACAGAACGTGAGACGACTCTGACCATTCCCTTTTTTTTTAAATTATAAGAGGTTGCTTCTCCGTGCACACGCAGTACAATACAAATATTTAATGAACAACCGTCATTGGTCAATCTCCCAAGGGCTGTTCGATTCATGTCGTTCTTAGAATTCCAGTCTTCACGTAAATCTACATCAAACCGTGGAAAACATAATTTCAGCCAGAACACACATGTTTCTTATACTGAGAGAGTATTCCTGGATTTTGATGCACTGACTTGTACATAGAAAGATAAAAAGTTATGAGAAGCAATCGTACGATCAATCGCACAGTAGAACTTATGCTCATCATGTTCGGTGTCTGGCCAGGTATACCATGCGTTATACTCTACAGAGTGTTTTGGATGATTACGCTAGCAATTAATCAATTCTTCCACTACTCGTACTTTGTAACGCATTTCCATTTCGACAATCTTTTCGACTTGATGGACTGTCTGAGTAGTTTTTTGGTAACAGTAAAACTAACTGTTAAGCTTATTATTTTCTCGTTGAAACAACGGTAAGCGATAATTAATCAATTAAATAATTAAAATTTTGTAAAAAATAACGTGAAAATACGTTGTAACTGTTCTAAAATATATTTGAACATTTATAGAAAATTTATAGAAATCTTGACAATGATGGCAGAAGACTGGAACGATTGCGACAACGATGACGTTGCGTTGCGCGAAACGATAGGCAAAACGAAATTATCAAGTCGTATTTGTAATGGATTAATTATTCTTCATACAATTGCCACGTTTGCATACGCCATTGGTATCCTCCTGGCCGACGCCGATGTCACCGATCGAACGGTTGAACTTCCCTTCATGATAAAAATGGAATATCCCTTCGTTATAGACACGCAACGCAAGTACAATCTGGTATTAGTTACGCAGTTCGTTTTCGTGATGGTGTGCAGTTGGGGAGCTGGTTTATTCAACGCTCTGTTTCTAACACTGGTAACCTGCACCTACATAAGCAAGTATCATAAGCAAAATATAATTGTATTTGTAATTAATAATACTGTAAATCTGTAATTAGCATAAATATTAAGATAAATTCGAGAAATAAATATTCATAAGATTTAATTCGCTCTCGTTCGGTTTATTATATTTATTTCTTATAAAAATATTTCTATTATTTAAAAGTAAAACAAATAATTGTAATCACATTGTTCTAAATGACCGAATCTTTATTAGTAGACCCTACACGTGGGCAGTCAAATGAACATTCTGCTTTGCTGGTTGACGAAACTTGGATCCAAAGACATCGAAAACAAGCATGATTCATTCGTTACTGTCACGACGAAAATCATTCAAAAGCATCAAAAAATTATCAATCTTTCAGAGAACGTTGAAAATCTCTATTCATACATCGCTTTGCTTCACTTCACATTAAATATAGTGATGATTTGCTCATTAGCATTTCTTATTGTGACTGTGAGTAAAGTTATTTACATTTCAAATATAAAAATACGCATTCAACCTTAGAATCAATTGCATTAGTTAATTTTTTATACAGTGATCTCTGTTGCATATCTGTATATCGGATTCTTTAATTTATTATATAAATCTCTATTTATAATAAATTGAAATAACTGTTTGTGTGTTGAATACTTTTATTTTCATTCTACATCAACATTGTAGGCAATCGGCACTCCCGATGCCACTGAACAAATAGTGAGATCTCTTTTATTTTATGTTGTAACGAACCTCGAAGCGTTTATATTTTGCTTCGCTGGAGAATATCTGAGCAATAAGGTTAGGAACGGAAGATAATTGTGATTGCAATAAAAGGGTTGTATAGATAATCTATTTTGTGGTTTTGATATTATTATTATAGAGAAAAATACTAAAAGATTTCTTTTTTTATTATTTCTATCTTCATAGAGCAAAGCGATCGGAAATGCAGCATATAATTCTACCTGGTACGATATGAAAGCTAAGGATAGTCGTGTTCTATTATTTATAATTTTAAGATCTCAAAGACAATTGAAGCTTACGGCGGGCAAGATGACAGTTCTTTCCTTTGAGTGCTTTACAAATGTAAGATATATGTATAATAATTAAAAGAAAAAAATTTTTTAATTTTTTAGTATACAAAACATGAACATAGTTACTTACAATTTATTTTTGTGATTCAGCGAATAATATTATATATTGTTCAGAAAAAGATAGAAACTTTTCTGTTATACTAATTTTTTATATGTATATACAGATGTATTCTCTTCCCCTGCTTCAAAAACACATTTCAACAAATTAAGTTTTCCAAAAAGGAAATATTTTTCAACTTGACTGAAAATTATTAATCAAGACATATCGGCAAAAAGAATATATACTTTTAATCAAATTTTCTGTATTAAATTATTATTTTTTATAATTTTTTACTGTTATTACGATTGTAATTTTCACAACCTTTAAAAATCTACCTTTTTTGAATTGTGACGATTTTGATATAATTTTTTTTAATGAAGTTAAGTTAAATCATACTTAATAAATGAGCATAATGTTTATTAAACTCAATCATAATAACTCAAAAATCACATTTTTTAGTCGTACATCTATTGAAATAAAACAACGATATGTATGATAATAATGCATATACATTTTTCTTCATTATTGATGATATTAATATTGTTATAGATTATGAAAGCTTCAGGATCGTATTTATCGGTACTACTGGCAATGAAATAAACGTCGCAATATCTCTTATGTAACTAATGCTTTGTGACAGTCGCCTGAAGTAACAAACCAAGTGATCAAATAAATATCAACATTTTTAATTAGAAAAATTAGAACATAATGTACATGTACATATAAATATATATTAATATGTACATAATAAACATTTTTTAAATATATACTTTTATACCAACGCAATATAATTATTAAGTGTATATAGAAAATTGTAACACAGAAATCATGATATTTCTTTCGTTAATGTGAGAAATATCATGTGTTTTGACATCGTTTCTAGAACTCACAACTGCTCATTTCTTCAACATACTTTCGTATATAAAATACCATTCTCACACCAATTGTTTGGTGAGATCTACACAGTTTATACTTGTTGATTTCTTGTAAAACACTAGCGTACACAAATACGCTGCAAACTGCTTTGTGCATCGAAAATACTTATACATTAACACTGCACTTAAGTTTCTTTGTTGCTTCTCTGCTGCTTTGAAGCATGAATTTCAAAACTTTTCCGGAATGTGTGTTGAAGTCCGATTGACCATCAGATGCATACGTTGCGTTCATATTCGCACGAATTATTGCATATTTAAACTGTATAATATGCAATTACATTACCAGTATCTAAGAGAAGGAGAAATTAACCTACGTTTTCTCTTTCTCCTTATATCGACATTGTGAAAAGCTACGATAAGTATATGCGAGCGAGGGCTGCATGATGAAAATATTTAATGAGATACTCTCATTGGCTGATAATAGTAGAGAGCGCCCATTTGATGATCTCGATGGACCTCCCAGTTTTTATGAAGTTATTCTAGAATATATATCAAGGTCTCATTGGAAAATATTGAGTGGGAAATATTAAATACTGAACAAGAAAGAAAAATAGAAGAAGAGAGAATACAATTCTTTTTTCTATGAAAAAACATCTCGCGTAAAAAGCGAAAAGAAATAAGGGATTATAAGGTGTAAAAGTATAATTAATCGTACGTTAAAGTTAACGCTCACTCTGTGCAATATATGGCCACAACGCATTATAATCTGCAGAGCGTATTGGATTATCGCATTAATAATAGATGATATTTGTCACTGTCATTATTTTTTACTATATTCTAATCTTTTTGGCTTGATGGATTATTTTAGTAGTATCTTAGCACAAGCAAAAATGACAATTAAGTTGATTATATTCTGGTTGAATAAACAGTAAGTATAAATGCTACACAGTAAATAATTTGCATATACAAGATATCTGAAAATTTGCGCATTTGGAATACAGAACATGATATTTTATGCTAAAACAAACAACTTTTTCCTTTAGCAAAATTGCGTCCGATAAATAATTTTTGCGATTATTTGTCAACTTGCTTTCCTGCAAAAACTATTTATCGGACGTAATTTTGCTAAAGAAAAAAATTGTTTTTGTGCTAAAATAAATAACCTTTTCCAACAATAGAATTATATTCAATAAATAATTTTTGCGTTTACTCATATAACTTCAACCTGCTCTTCTGCAAAAACTACTTGTCAGACGCAATTTTATAAAAGGAAAAAGTTGTTTGTTTTAACATAAAGTATCATCCTGTACTCAAAATGTGCAAATTTTAAGACGCCCTGTATATTCCAAAGTAAATTCCATTATTTTCTGTTATTAACTTTTATATTACAATCAATATATAGTTAAATAAATAAATAAATTATTTAATAATCATTATTTGTTATACAAATATTTGTTTCTTTTTAATTTCTGACAAAATACGTGTTAACAAATTTTGTACACATTTTATTTTGCCAAAATGTAAAAAGAATTATAATAGAAAATTAAAATATTTAAAGAAAGTAATATAAATAAAGTAATAAAAATAAATAAAAATTTGTTTATATAATTATGTGTAATAGCATTTTATACAATAGTACTATATACTTCTCCAAATATACAAACTTTTGTGTGTTTTCACATTTTTTCCACAGTTCGGCAGAGAATAATTAAATTAATATTTGTAGAAAATTCTTTGAGATCTTGACAATGATGGCAGAAGACTGGAATGATTGCACTGGCAATAACATCAATATGCGTGAAACGGCGTGCAAAGCTAAATTATCGGATCGTATCACTAATGGGATGTTCACTCTCCATACGTTAAGTATTGTTGGATACAGTATTGGCGTTCTCTTGGTTGATATTGATGTCACCAAGCAATCCAAACTACCTCTCCTCTTAAAAGTGGAAGTTCCTGTCAACATAAACACAAAATGCGCATATAAAATGTTCTTGACCATGCAATTCGTACATCTCATCATGTGCAGCTGTGGAATGTGGGTATATATTGAATGCCTTGCTCTTAACTTTGGTAAGCTGCAGCGTTTGCAAAATATACTTCTCATTTATAAGTAATACATATTAATAATTATAAAAATAATTGCTAATTAATATTGTCTTACATAATACTTTTTTTCGTTATTTAATGTATTAATTTCATTGATAGACACAATGTATAAATTTTATTTTTAGACTTTTGTATGTAGTCAGATGGATATTCTATGTTGCTGGTTAAATGAACTTGTGCTATGAAGAAATGAAGGATGCGAGTCTATCGCAGGCACAATGACCAGAATTATTCGCAAGCATCAAAGAATCATTAATTTTTCGGAATACATTGAGGATTTATACACATACATCGCGTTAGTGCAATTTACAACGAACAGTATCCTGGTTTGCTCTTTGGGATTTCTCATTATAACGGCGAGTGAAAACATCAAGTATTACACATAATAATAAATATTACATTTTATAAAATTAAACATAAATTTTTATTGCAAAATAAACTTTTTTAGTTAGAGTGACGTAGAAATCTATTCATAATTTTGAAACGTATTTAATAATTGCTACTTTAATATTGCAGGCAATTGACTCGATGCAATGGAGTACATTGTACGATCTCTTTTATTTTACACCGTAACGAATCTCGAATCATTTATATTTTGTTACGCAGGAGAATATATAAAAAAGATTAGGCATGAGGAAAAAGTTATGACAATAATCAATAACGATTACTTTGAAATTGTTAAAAAAGAAATTATAATACATATTAGGGTAATCTCTTTTAACAATTTTTAACTTTTTAGAGTAAAGCTGTCGAAAAAATACGGCGTACAATTTCGCCTGATACGAAATAAAAATAATCATAGTTTAATATTACGAGCGCAAAAGCAATTGACACTTACAGTTGAAAAAATGATAGATCTTCTTGGAATCTTTTACAAGTGCAAAACTTATACCTAGCACACAAAATAATTTTTTAAATTTGTAAATATTTTATACCAATACTTAAGACGCATTTTTCTTGGCGACAAAATTATAATCTCCTAAAATATTAATTTTTAATTAATATTTTATAATTAATATTTTATAATAACAAATGTTCATACTTTATTATAAATCATGATAGCATCACGATCATATTTATCAGTAGTGCTGGCTATGCAATAAGCATAGTCGAATATTTGAAGATTTTTATATAATAGCCGTGAAACATATATCGCATAAATATAAATATATATTCACTAGTAATAGAGAAATGCATATAGTATGACATATATTTTTGTAGCATAAATAATAATATAATTTAGAATATTTTAAAATATTCATAATAATCTACAGAGGAATATAAAATAAATCATTTTTTTAACGTTATTACAGCACCTTAGACTTCTATTTCCTAAGAATTGCAAAATAATCATATTATATTCTATTATATTATATCATATCAATATTTTATATAAGTCAATAATGTTTTTAGTCAATAATCAAATTAAATTAATGAAAATTATAGCAACCCAATGTGACTTGTGTGTCCATGTCTAGTTTTACACATTTTTAGAAAAAATATTTTAAAAATAGTTAAATAATTGGATATATGTAACAAGTTGAAATATATTAGGTGTTGGAATTAATTCGTAGCGTTTTACAAGTGATGGGAAGTACTTTCATTAATGTATTTTTTAATGCTCATGTGAAATAAATAACATTCTTTCATTAAAAACGCTACGAATTAATTCCAACACCTAATATTATAACAAATTAAAAACGAAGAGTATGAAACAAACATCTATCAAACATTCTATCCGAACCGTAGAAATTCCGCATTTTTGGTATCTGGCCAGGTTCACCATACATTCCATTTTGTAGACTGTTTTGGACGATTGTATTCGTGGTTATTCGATCTTTACAATATCGATATATTATTTTGCACTTACACACTGTCGATCTCTTCGATATGATGGATGGTTTAAGTGCAACCTTGAGATTTAGCTAATTTTCTTCTAAACTCATCATTTTCAATCAACAGACAAAAATAGCTATAATTTGCTAGAAATATATTAATTATATTTTTATAAAAAAAGCATTATATTATTTTTAATCATATTATTTATGCACAACATTATACAAATTCCTGCATATATAGTAGCTCAACAAAATTAATTTTTTTTTAATATTATATTGTGATAATTGATAAAATCGCTTATATAATAGAACAATAAGATATTGATGGCGATGGACTGGAAGAAAAATATGTCGTTAGTACACGTGTGAGAACAAACAAAGTCATTCTATCACAGAATTTCGCTAAAACCGGTATTTTCTCGATAGTCATAACATTATATACCGCTAATGATTTCACTTTTAATACGAGTAATCTAGAAGACATTGACATATCCATGTGACCGCTTATACTAAAGATGGACTTTCCATTCAATAGCAATACACGATTTGTTTATGGATTGCTATTAATTACATAATTCTTTTGCACAGTGCTATGTAGCTGCACTGTTGTCATGCTAAACGTTCTCCTCGTTGTCTTGGTAAGTTGAAACTGTCTTGAAAAGTATTGTTTCAAAATTTTTTATTTTAATTGTTGCGTCTACCTTGACTAATATATTGCAAAGTTCTCTGGAATTATAAAATTACTGCGATTATATACAAAATGTTAAGATGAAATCACACACTCGAAATCTTTTTTAGTTATTATGTTTAACTGGTTCTACCATATTATATATTTACAATTCCACACCTATTATTTATAATAGTACAGTTTTTACAATTACATTTCAAATACATTTTTAACACTGCATTTTTATATATCAATTTAATGACAAATGCATAATATTGTTATAGATTCTAAAAGCTTCAGCATCAGTTATGCTAGCGTTATATTGACAACAAAGATACGAGTGCTTAACATAATAGCTATGATATAGCATCATAATATTTGTTTTACTTTTATTATTGGAACGATTCGTGCAAGTGCACATGAATGTGCGTGCAAATCAGTAATATGAATTAATTCATAATGTTATTTGAAAAATTGATATCAAATTCTCTTTATTTATCTGAGAAAAATATGTTACAGATAACTAAAATTCAAAGAATCGTATGATTGAGTAATTTACATATATACTTAATAATTTTATTTTATTTCTTAATACCTTATATTTATATATTTTTAATTTTACCGAGACTTTAGAGCAAGTTTGATTTCGATGTGCAATCGCCTACAATCCGTGACATTTCATGCGGCTCTGAATTATTAAAGTAAGTTACGTATGCGCAGTAACTGTCTTACGTGAAAAATATTCATCGACAAGTGGTTTTCTTTCTTCAAAGGTGATTGTTTGTGAGAAGTTAAAACTCTATAAATAAATAATATTTTGTGCACAATTACTAGTGCACAATTTTCTTTATATTTTCCTCTCGAATTTTTTCTGTCCTTTAGATCTTAAGACTTTCCCAAGATCGCGTCTTGCTAGCAGAAGTATATACATCGTATATAGATTACTACATATCATTATATATTTATGCAAATTATTCGCGAGTACATTGTCTGCACTGAACAAAATGTGAGACGACTCTTACCATTCCCTTTTTTTTAAATTATGTACAAGAGATTGCTTCTTCGTGCGCATGTAGCACAATAAAAATATTTAATGAACAATCGTCATTGGTCAATCTCCCAAGGGCTGTTCATATCGTTTCTAGAATTCCAGTCTTCATGTAAATTTTCTACAACGTACATCAAACTGTGGAAAACATAATTTCAGTCAATATATACATGTTTCTTATACTTAGAGAGTATTCCTGAATTTTAATGCACTAACTTGTACATAGAAAGACAAAAAGTTATGAGGAGTAATCGTACGATCAATCGCACAGTAGAATTTATGCTCACCATGTTCGGTGTCTGGCCAGGTATATCATGCGTTATATTCTACAGAGTGTTTTGGATGATTACGCTAGCAATTAATCAATTCTTCCACTACTCATACTTTGTAACGCATTTTCATTTCGACAATCTTTTCGACTTGATGGACTGTCTGAGTAGTTTTTTGGCGCATGTAAAACTAACCATTAAACTTATTATTTTCTCATTGAAACAACGGTAAGCGACAATTAATCAATTAAATAATTAAATTTTGTTAAAAAATAATGTGAAAATACGCTGCAACTGTTCTAAAATATCCAATTGTTTATAGAAAATTCGTCGAAATCTTGACAACAATGGCGGAAGATTGGAATGATTGTAACAACGAAAACGTTGCGTTACGCGAAACGGTAGACAAAACGAAACTATCGAGTCGTATTTGTAATGGATTAATTATTCTTCATACAATCGCCGCGTTTTCATATGTCATTGGTATCCTCCTGACCGATGTCGACGTCACCGATCGAACGGTTGAACTCCCTCTCATGATGAAAATGGAATATCCCTTCGTTATAGACACGCAACGCAAGTACAATCTGGTATTAGTTACGCAGTTCGTTTTCGTGATGGTGTGCAGTTGGGGAGCTGGTTTATTCAACGCTCTGTTTCTAACACTGGTAACCTGCACCTACATAAGCAAGTATCATAAGCAAAATATAATTGTATTTGTAATTAATAATACTGTAAATCTGTAATTAGCATAAATATTAGGATAAACTCGAAAATTAAATATTCTTTTAATTCATTCTCGTACGGTTTATTGTATTCATTTCTCATAACAATATTTTTATTATTTAGAAGTTTAACTAATAATTGAAATTAATCACATGATTCTAAATAACAGAATCTTTATTAGACTCTACACGTGGGCAGTCAAATAAACATCCTGCTTTGCTGGTTGTCGAAACTTGGATCCAAAGACATCAAAAACAAGCATGATTCGTTCGTTACTGTCACGACGAAAATCATTCGAAAGCATCAAAAAATTATCAATCTTTCGGAGAACGTTGAAAATCTCTATACATACATCGCTTTGCTTCAATTCACATCAAATATACTGATGATTTGCTCATTAGCATTTCTTATTGTGACTGTGAGTAAAGTTATTTAAATTTCATATATAAAAATACACATTCAATCTTAGAATCAATTGCATTAGTCAATTTTTTATACAATGTTGTCTGTTGCGTATCTATATTATACCGCATTATTTAATTTATTATATAATAAATCACTATTTATAATAAATTGAAATAACTGTCCGTTGAATACGTTTATTTTCATTCTATATCTACATTGTAGGCAATCGGCAGTCCCGATGCCACTGAACAAATAGTGAGGTCTCTTTTATTTTACGCTGTAACGAATCTCGAAGCATTTATATTCTGCTTCGCTGGAGAATATCTGAACAATAAGGTTAGCAACGGAAAATTATTTTGATATTGCAATAAAAGGTTCTATAGATAATTTAACGTTTTGTGGTATTGATATCAATATTATAGAGAGAAATATTAAAAAATTTCTATTATTATTTCTATCTTTATAGAGCAAAGCAATCGGAAATGCAGCGTACAATTATTCTGCCTGGTACGACATGAAAGCTAAGGATAGTCGTGTTTTATTATTTATAATTTTAAGATCTCAAAGACAATTGAATCTTACGGCGGGCAAGATGACAGTTCTTTCCTTTGAGTGCTTTACAAATGTAAGATATATGTGTAACAAATAAAGAAAAAAAATTTTTAATTTCTTGATATACAATAACATAGTTACCTATAATATGTTTTTATTATCCAGCAGCAAATAATATTATTATTATTCAGTTAGATAGAGTATCATAAGCAAAATATAATTATATTTGTAATTAATACCCCACTAAATATTAGGATAAACTCGAAAATGAAATATTCAGGTTTAATTCATTCTCGTGCGGTTTACTGTATTCTTCTACTGTATTTCTGTACTTCTCATAACAATATTTTTATTATTTAGAAGTTTAATGAATAATTGTAATCACATGGTCTTAAATAACAGAAAACTTTTCGGTTATACTAATTTTTTGTATATGTATAGATGTATCTCTTTCTTTTATCAAAAGTGAAACATATCAACAAATTAAATTTCCAAAAAGGAAATATTTTTCAACACTTGATAGTAAAGTATTCATTAATCAAATCATATCGGCAAAAATATATACACTTAGGTGTTCAAATTTTCTGTATTAAAGTAAATTTTTTAATAACAGTTGTAATTTTTATAACTAATCTACGTTTTTCAATTGCGATCGGATTTTAACACTTTTGAAATTAAGTTAGATCACTTTTAATAAATAAAAGCCTAATGTTTACTCAACTCTTTCATAATAACTCAAAAATTACATTTTTGAAATGTATATGTTTGAAATAAAATAACGATATGTCTGATAATAATGCATACATATTTTTCTTCGTCACTAATGATATTCACTGTTTTAGATTATGAAGGCTTCAGGATCGTATTTATCGGTACTACTGGCAATGAAATAAATGTTACAGTATCTGTTATGTAACTACTTTCTTAAGTGACAGTTGCATGAAAAAACTAAGTGATTAAATAATAATCGACGTATTTAATTAGAAAAATTAGAACATAATGTATATGTACATATAAATATATATTAATATATATATAAATATTTTCTAAATATATATTTGTAGATCAATACAAAATAATTATTAACTATATATGGAAAATTGTACACGGAAGTCATGATATTTTTTTCGTTAGTATGAGAAAAATTATGTGTTCTCACATAGTTTCCATTTAGAACACACAATTCTTCAATCCTTCAACATGTATAATACTTTTGTACATGAAACATTATATTGTATCATCCTCCTATTCCATCCAGAACTATTGTTACTTACGCAGTTTATGCATTTATTGATTTCTTTTAAAACATCAACGCAAACAGATACACTGCAAACTGCTTTGTGCATTCAAAAATACTTATACATTAGCACTACACTTGAGTTTCTGTGATGCTTTTCTGTTGCTTTGGTGCATAAATTTCAAAACCTTTCCAAAGTGTACGCTGAAGTGCGATTGACCGTCAGATGCGTGCGCCATCGCGTTCGCACGAATCATTGCATATTTAAACTGTACAATATGCGATTACATCAATGGAAGGAGAAATAAACCTATGTATTCTCTCTCTATTTATATCGATATTGTGAAAAACTGCGGTAAGTGTATGCGAGCGAGGACTGCATGATGAAAATATTTAATGAGATACACTTTCATTGGTTGATAATAGTAGAGTGCGTCCATATGATGATCTCGAAGGACCTTTCACTCTTTATGAAGTTATTCAAGAATATACATCGAGTTTTCATTGGAAAATACTAAGTGGGAAATATTCAATTCAATAAAAGAGAAAAATAAAGAAAGAAAGAACACAGTTCTTTTACCTCCCTGAAAGACTGACGTATAAACTGATGTTTTTTCTTGCTTAAAAACGAAAGCGAAGAGAAATAAGGAATTATGACGCGTAAAAGTACAATTAATCGTACATTAAAATTAACGCTCACTCTGTGCGGTATATGGCCAGGCACAACATGTGTTATAATCTGCAGAGCGTATTGGATTATCGCATTAGTAATAGATGATATTTGTCACTGCCGTTATCTTTTAATGCATTTGCATTCTAACGATCTTTTTGACTTGATGGACTGTTTCAGTAGTTTCTTAACACAAGTAAAATTGACAATTAAGTTGATTATATTCTGGCTGAATGAACGGTAAGTATAAATGCTGCACAATAAATTTGCATATATTGTATATTACTCAAAGTTAATTCCATAATTTTCTGTCATTATTTTCTATATTTATTACAATTAATATATATTTAGATAAACAAATAAACAAATAAACAAAATATTATACTAATCATTATTTGTTACATATAAATATTTGTTTTTCTTAAATTTCTGATAAAAAACGTATAAGAAATTTGTATACACATTTTATTTTGTCAAGTTATAAAAAGAATAGGAAGGTTAAAATATCATTTAAAAAAAGTAATATATAAATAAAAATACGTTTACATTATTATATGTAATACTACTTTATATAATAATAATGTACTTTTCTAAATATACAAACTTTTGTATCTTACATTTCTCCCATAGCTATCAGCAATGTAATCAAATTAATATTTGTAGAAAATTCTTTGAGATCTTGACAATGATGGCAGAAGACTGGAACGATTGCATTGACAATAATATCAATGTACGCGAAACGGCGTGTAAAGCTAAATTATCGGATCGTATCGCTAATACGATGTTCACTCTTCATACGTTAAGTATTATCGGATATAGTATTGGCGTTCTCTTGGCTGATGTCGACATCACTGAGCAATCCGAACTACCTTTCCTCTTAAAGGTGGAGCTTCCTGTCAACATAAACACAAAACGCGCATATAAAATGTTCTTAACCATGCAATTCGTGCATCTCATCTTGTGCAGCTGTGGAACGGGTATATTGAATGCCTTGCTCTTAACTTTGGTAAGCTGCAACGCTTGTAAAATATACTTCTCATTTATAAGTAATACATATTAATAATTATAAATAATTATAAAAATTATAATAATTATAATAATTATAAAAATAATTGCTAATTAATATTGTCTTAAACAATATATTTTTCGTCATTTAATGTATTAATTTGATTGATAGACAGAATGTATTAGGTGTTGGAATTAATTCGTAGCGTTTTTACAAGTGATGGGAAGTACTTTCATTAATGTATTTTTTAATGCTCATGTGAAATAAATAACATTCTTTCATTAAAAAACGCTACGAATTAATTCCAACACCTAATATGATTTTTCTAGACTTTACATGTAGGTGGTCAGGTGAATATTCTACGTTGCTGGTTAAATAAACTTGTGCTACAAGGAAGTGAAGGATGTGAATCTGTCGCAGTCACAACAACCAGAATTATTCGCAAGCATCAAAGAATCATTATTTTTTCGGAATACATTGAGGATTTATATACATACATTGCGTTAGTGCAATTTACAACGAACAGTATCCTGATTTGCTCTTTGGGATTTCTCATTGTAACGGCGAGTGAAAACATTAAGTATTACACATAATAATAAATATTACATTTTATAAAATTAAACATAAATTTTTATTGCAAAATAAGCTTTTTGCGATTAGTTAGAGTGACGTAAAAATTTATTCATAATTTTGAAACGTTTTATAATTGTTACTTTAATATTGCAGGCAATTGGCAGTCCCGATGCAACGGAGCACATTGTACGATCTCTTTTATTTTACACCGTAACGAATCTCGAAGCATTTATATTTTGTTACGCAGGAGAATATATGAAAAACAAGGTTAGGCAAGAGGAAAAAATTATGACAATAATAACGATTACTTTAAGATTGTTAAAAAAGAAATTATAATACATATTAGGACAATCTCTTTTAACGATTTTCAACTTTTTAGAGTAAAGCTGTTGGAAATGCGGCGTATAATTCCGTCTGGTACGAAATGAAACCTAAAAACAGCCGTATTTTAATATTTGTGATGTTAAGAGCGCAAAAGCAATTGACACTTACAGTTGGAAAAATAATGGATCTTTCTTTAGAATCTTTTACTAGTGTAAGTCTTATACGTAGCACACATAATAATTTTGAAGAATAATTGTACGTTGGGGGGTATCAACCAGAGTAATGGTGACGAAAAAACGCAATTTGGAATTCAACAACGTGCCATTTTCTTAATTTTTATTATTTAATTCTTGTACAAATAATTATTTTAAAGGTTCTATTATTAATAGAAAAATATTAAATTAGTAACCAAAATTATTCCTCGTTTACGTATAAAAATAAATTTTCTTATCCTCTTCAAAAATCATATATTACCTTATATCGCGGGGTAATATGTGACGGTCTCAGCGATGATTGTGATAATGACAATTATTGAGATATAAATCAAATCTATTTACAAGAAATGAATAAAAAAAGCATTAATAGTAATTTCAAAAGACAAACGGTATTCATTTTTATTATTAAAATATATATGATCAACAAAAATGAACATGTCTTTTTAACATTTATCATCTTTTCGTTTTTTATATTTAGGTAAGCAAAGATATATGAATATTTTTCTTATCATAAATAAAACTTTCCCTTCGGAATATAGTTTCGTGGAATGATGTGTAAAATAATTAAATATTTAGCTAACAAACCTTATAATACATCACAAAGTTATTTATGTTATATAAGATTGAGAGTTAAGGAAAAACAACAAAAAGCATTTAAATTTATTTTCTTATTTATAACCTCAAAATTGTTGACAAATCATTGACATGAAATTAATATTCATTTGATAATAATAACAGATTACGCATGTATATTGTTGTACGAATGTAGTGTTATTATCCAAAGTATGATGTTTGAATTGTACTTACGTAAAATTATTAATAAATGCACAGTCGTCAGTATTTTGCTGTCGCATTCATGATAACAGGCACACCATTATTTAGCGCAATTGCGCGCAAAGTATCACCGTTTTTTTTATACTTGTCGTCAAATTTACCCCATACATTGATTTAATTAATGTAATTATCATGTTCAATTAAAAAATTGTATACCTATTAATTGTATTATTATGTTGACAAAACAACTTAATTTAGAATCATAGTAATCTTAAAGTAATGAATATTTAAATGACTTTATCTGAAAAAGAATTAACTTTGAATAGATATCCGCAAACTTTGATAATCTAACTTTTTTACAACGCTCCACAGATTCGATAATTATTATAAAATGAAATTTTTATATTTAGAAAAACTTGAGTCAATTTTAAATGAAATTATCTTTGAACATAGAACAATATAAAATATAAATTTTTTTTATTTTAATGCATAAAACTAAGCATCGCAATTCCTCGCCATCACATTTACCTCGGTTAACTCTAATATTAGTATTAAAATACTTCTATATAAAATGTACTTTTTGCTATGTAAATTTTTTTCTGCCAATCCATTAAGTTTTTAAATTTTGTTAACCAATACTTAAGACTCATTTTTCTTGATGACAAAATCATAATCTTCTAAAATATTAATTTTCAATTAATATTTTATATAGCTAACAAAAAGTTCATATTTTATTATAGATCATGAAAGCATCAGGATCATATTTGTCAGTACTGCTGGCTATGCAATAAACACATCGCATACTTGAAGATTTTTATATAATAGTCGTGAAGCGATATATCATATAAATATAAATATATCTTCACTAGTAATAGAAATGCATATAGTACAACATATATTTTCGTAGCCTAAATAGTAATATAATTTAGAATATTTTAAAACGTAGTAATTTACAGAAGATTATAAAATAAATCATTTTTTTATGTTATCATAGTATCTTAGACTTCTATTTCCTAAGAATTGTAAAATAATCATGTTATATTATATTATATTATGTCATTAATATTTTAAATCAATAATATATGTTTAGTCAATAATCAAAATTAAATTAATAAAAAATATAGCAATCTGATGTGACTTGTGTGTCCATGTCCAGTTTTACACACATTTCCATTTCTAGAGAAAATATTTAAAAAAATAGTTAAATAATTACAAATATACATTTTTCGTTATAAAAGAATAACGCTAAAATTATTTTAAAAAATATAATGTAACAAGTTTTAATCTCAAAAACAATTAAAGCTTACGGCGGGCAAGATGACAGTCCTTTCCTTTGAGTGTTTCTTTATAAATGTAAGATATATGTAGATATAATATATATAATTAAAGAAAAAGCATATCTTAACTTCTTATATACAATAACATAGTTATCCATTTTTATTATCTATTAGCGAATAATATTTTTATTGTTCAGAAAGAGATAAAAACTTTTTTGTTATATAAATATCTTATATATAGACTTATTGCTTTCTTACTTCAAAAATAACACGACTTGATAAATTAAGATTTCCAAAAAAAAAAAAATATTTTTTAACTTGACAGAAAATTATTAGGTAACTAATCAAATCAATTATATTGGCAAAAAGAATATATATTCTTAATTGTTCAATTTTTTTTTGTATAAATCAGATTTTGTATAATTTTTTACTGTTGTAATTTTCACAATTTTTAAAAATCCATCCTTTTTGAATTGTGACGATTTTGATGATTTTTTAAATGAAATCAAGTTAAATTACATTTAATAAATAATAGCATAATATTTACTGAACTCATTTCTAATAACTCGAAAATCACATTTCTGAGTTATGTCACTTCTGAAATACAACAATATGTCTGGTAATAATACATATACATTTTTCTTTATCACTAATAGTATTAACATTGTTATAGATTATAAAGGTTTCAAGATCGTATTTATAGGTACTACTGACAATGAAATAAACCAGCTATTAATATCCATTGTATAACTAATTTCTTAAGTGACTGTCGCCTAAAATAACAAACCAAGTGATCGAATAAAGATCGACTTTTTTAATTAAAAAAATTAAAACATAATATATGTACATATAAATATACGTATATATTAATATATGTACATATATTATAATAATATATACATAGTAAATATTTTTTCAATATATACTTTTATACCATTGTATAAAAATATTAACTGTATATAGAACCATGATATTTCTTTCATTAGTTTGAGAAAAATTATGTGTTCTTACTAGTTTTTATTTAAAACACATAATTCCTTAGTTCTTCAAACATACCTTCGTATTTGAAACATTATATTGTATCATTTTCACATTTATTGTTACTTATGCATTCTCTATGCATTTGTTGATTTCTTGTAAAACATCAGTGCACAGATATGCTGCAAATTGCTTTGTACATTCAGAAATACTTATATATTAGCACTGCACTTGTGTTTCTATGCTGCTTTTCTGCTGCATGAATTTCAAAACTTTTCCGGACTGTACAGCTGAAGTGCGGTTGACCGTCAGATGCATGCGTCGTCGCGGTCATGTTCGTATGAATCATTGCATATTTAAACTGGATAATATGCTATTACATTACCAGCACTCAAGGGAAGGAGAAATGACCCTACTATTCTCTCTCTTCTTATATCAATGTTGTGAAACGGTAAATGTATGCAAGTAAGGGCTGCATGTGGTATGATAAAAATATTTAATGAGATATTCTTATTGACCGATCATGGTAGAGAGCACCCATTTGATGATTCTGTAGGATCTTCCAGTCTTTATGAAGTTATTCTAGAATATACATCGAGTTCTCAATGGAAAATATTGAATATTGAACAAGAAAAAAATAGAGAAACAGAGAATCCATTTCTTTTATCTCCCTGAAGAAGCGTTGTCCTACGTACAAACTGATGTTTTTCCTCGGGTAAAAACGAAAGTAAAAAGAAATAAGAAATTATGACGCGTAAAAGCACAATTAATCGTACGTTAAAATTAATGCTCACTCTGTGCGGTATATGGCCAGGCACAACGTGTGTTATAATCTGCAGAGCGTATTGGATTATCGCATTAGCAATAGATGAAATTTGTCACTGCCGTTATCTTTTAATGCATTTGCATTCTAAAGATATTTTTGACTTGATGGACTGTTTCAGTAGTTTCTTAACGCAAGTAAAATTTTCAATTAAATTGATTATATTCTGGCTGAATGAACGGTAAGTACAAATGTTACAGTAAATAATTAACATATGTGTTACCTAAAGTTATTTTCATTATTTTCTGCCATTACTTTCTATATTTATTACAATTAATATATATTTAAATAAACAAATAAATAAAATATTTAATAATTATTATTTGTTATACACAAAAGGCTTCTGTGTCTTACATTTCTCTCATAGCCGAATAATAAAGTTAATAATTTATAGAAAATTCTTTGAAATCTTGACGATAATGGCAGAGGACTGGAATGATTGCGCTAGTAGTAACATCAATATGCGCGAAACAGCATGCAAAGCTAAATTAGCAAATCGTATCACTAATGCAATGTTTACTCTTCATACGTTAACTATTGTTGCGTATAGTATTGGCGTTCTCTTGGCTGATGTCGACATCTCCGAGCAATCTGAACTACCTCTTCTCTTAAAAGTGGAGCTTCCTGTCAACATAAACACAAAACGCATGTATAAAATGCTTCTGACTATGCAATTTGTACATCTTATTATGTCTGGCTGCGGAACAGGTCTATTGAATGCTTTGCTCTTAACTTTGGTAAGTAAGTTGCAACGCGTGCGGAATACATCATAAATAATACATATTGGTAATTATAAAAATAATTGCAATATTGTTTTAAAACGGTTTTTTGGCTATTTAATACATTAATTTGATTGATAGATATAATGTACTATTTTTCTTTTTAGACTTTACATGTAGGTGGTCAGATGGATATTTTGCGTTGCTGGTTAAGTGAACTCGTACCACAAAAAAATGAAAGATACGAGGCTGTCACCGTCACGACAAATAGAATTATTCGCAAGCATCAAAGAATCATTAATTTTTCGGAATATATTGAGGATTTATATACATACATCGCGTTAGTGCAATTTACATCAAACACTGTGCTGATTTGCTCTTTGGGATTTCTTATTGTAACGGCAAGTAAAAACATTAAGTATTATACATAATAATGAATACTGCATTTTATAAAATTAAACTTTAATTTTTGTTGCAAAATAAATTTTTTGCTACTCATTAGGGTAACGCAGAAGTTCATTTATAATTTTGGATCGTATTTAATAATTGCTACTTTAAAAATGTAGGCAATTGGCAGTCCCGATGCAACGGAGCATATAATGCGATCTCTTTTATTTTACACCGTGACGAATCTCGAAGCATTTATATTTTGTTACGCAGGAGAATATATAAAAAACAAGGTTAGAGATGAGAAAATAATGATTATTTTGAGATTGTTGAAAGAAGAAATTTTAATACATGTTATGACAACCTCTTTTAACAATTTCGAACTTTCTTCAGAGTAAAGCTATTGGAAATGCGGCGTACAATTCCGCCTGGTATGAAATGAAGCCTAAAAATAGCCGTAATTTAATATTCGTGATATTAAGAGCGCAAAAGCAATTGACACTTACAGTTGGAAAAATAATGGATCTCTCCTTAGAATCATTTACAAGTGTAAGACTTATACGTAGCACACAAAATAATTTTGGACAATAATTATATACGTAATATTTGTATAAAGATATTTTCTATATAAAATTTACCTTTTGTCTACCTAAATTTTTTTCTGACAATCCATTAAGTTTTTAAATTTTTTATAGCAATATTTAAAACATTTCTTGGTGACAAAAATCATAATCTTCTGAAATATTAATTTCTAATACAAAAAGATCATACTTTATTATAGATCATGAAAGCATCAGGATCATATTTGTCAGTATTGCTGGCTATGCAATAATCACGTCACATATTTGAAGATTTTTATATAGTAGTCGTGAAGTATATATCATGTAAATATATCTTCACTAGTGATGCGTATAGTACAACATATATTTTCATGGTTTAAATAGTAATATAATTTAAATATTCTAAAATCGTAGTAATCTACAATAGAATATAAAATAAGTCATTTTTTAAATGTTATCAGAGAACCTTACCTTTCTATTTTCTAAGAATTGTTCAATTTTTAAAGAAAACATTAAATAAAATAGTGTTAAATAATTAAATATATGTATATACACTTTTCGTTATAAAAAGATAAAATGATTTACACTAAAATTATTTACAAAAAATATAATGTAGCGAGTTAACGATATTATATCATTTAATCTGTTTGAATATTCATTTGCATAAATTCTAATTGACATATATGTGATATATATATATATATATATATATTATTTCACATACATTTTCAGATACAAATTCATGCATGTGTTAATCTTAATTGTATTTTTATAATACCTATATTTTTATAACACAAAATCACTTTTAGTTATTATATGCAAATTAATGTAATATTTTGTAGCATTGCATATAGTTGCCTGTTCGTTCATTCTTTAGAGATTAAGACTTTCCTAAAACATCGTTGTCACGATTGATCATCGGACATATACATCGTATCTATGTCCGCACGTATCATTACATATTTAAAGTGAACAATTCACGATTGTAGTACAAACGCATAAGATAGAGGAAAAAAAACCTCACGTATCTTTCCGTTTCTTATGTTAAATAAATGAAAAACCACAACAAAATGTATTCGCGGTCTATGCACTCGGCATAATGAAAATATTTAATGAGCAACTCCAATTACGATCAATTGCTGATAGTTGAATCTATTGATATTTCTTTGAAGCTTCCAATGTTTTTCATACATGCATTCTATAATACGTAGAACGCATGCGTTTGATCAGAATATATTTCTTTTATCTAACTGAAGTTTTTTTTTCTATTGTATGCACCTTCATGAATTCGCTGTGTACAACGGAGAATAAAAAGAAATAAGAAATTATGACTCGTAAAAGTACGCTTAACCACACGTTGAAATTTATGCTCACTTTGTGTGGTATTTGGCCGGGCACATCGTATGTTCTACCTTGTAGAATATTTTGGATCGTTTCATTGACAATTACCTTATTCTGTCACTACCGTTATTTTCTGACACATGTACATTCTGCTGAAATATTAGATTTAATGGATTGTTTGTCCAGCTTCCTAGCATATTCCAAAATTATTATTAAGTTCCTTGTGTTTTGGTTAAATGAGCGGTAAGTAATATTATTTAATTTGTATACAATGTTGAAAGCATCAAAAATATTACAATTGATGCAATCATTATTCATGTCAAAGCTCTAGCGAAAGATGTATATTGTTATTACAAAATTACAATTTTACAAAAAATTTATTTATACAACTTTCATTTTTAAAATATAATTGCAAATAATATTATTATGTAATCACCAAACATTCTTTTTAAAATATTATGTGTGTATTTCATACTAATTTGATCAGCTTCAGGTAAAAAAATATTATAAAGCGCTCTAATTAAAAAATATTGTTGCAATATTTTTACTTTATAATATTAATATATAGTTATATTCATTATATTAATAATTTATAAACAAAAATTGTTGGTGAATAAAAATAACAAATCTTTATTTGTCAATTATTTGTTAATTTTAAGTGCCTAGACATTTACATGATGACAATTAAGATTATCTTGCGATAGTACGATTAATAAAAGCAATTATTCACAGAAAATTCGTCGAAATTTTGACAGTGATGGCAGAAGATTGGAATGATTGCGCTAACAGTGACATTAGCATACGTGAGACAACACGCAAAGCGAAAATATCGGATCGCTTTACAAATGCAATCATCACTCTTCATACGACGACAGTTGTTGCATACTGCATTGGTATCATCATAGCTGATGTTGATGTCACTAACACTACGAAAGAACTACCTTTAGTCAATAAAGTAGAAATTCCTTTCGACATAAACACTCAATTTACGTACAGAACTGTTTTAATCACGGAATTTTTACTTATGATTCTTTGTGGATGGGCGGCTGGTATAACAAATTCTTTATTATTATCACTGGTAAGTTAAAAATTCTTTATCCATGGAAATTGTATCTAATTAAAATGATAATACGCGTTTAAACTGCCAATGTAAAAGATGCAAAAATTAAAATGGCTTATAAAAAATTCTATTTGTGTTTGTTTTGACGATATTATTTAATCATTGTGCATTTACTTATTTTGTTGTTTGAG